AAAGTAAGTCCAATAGAGTTACTAATTGGAAAAGAAGCTAGACCATTCGGTCTTGTACCCGTTGCTGAAAACGAGAGTGTGGTTGATGTAAATATAATCAGAAATATAGCTAAGCACAATATGGAACAAAATTCCAAATAAGACAAGTTAAGATTCGATCGGAATAAAGCCACTGTTGTTAAGCATAAAGTTGGGGATCATGTCTTACTCAAGAATGAGGAGCGACACCAGACAAAACAAGGAAGAACGCTATAGTCGAGTACCTTGACTATCAGATACCCGTTACTCAGCTAAATGGAGATATGCAAGCAGCAAAGCGAGATTAAAATGCGCCACCTACCGGCGGTATACAGATTTAAGCGTTATGGGCGTTAGAGTGGGCGTGGCAAATTTTTTTTGGATCAATCGATAGGTATCGACGAGACCAATAAATTTCAGTTAAAATTTTTTATCTAGCATGAAAATTGTGGGCGTCACAGGTTTTTGCGGTTTGTGGGCGTTAAAGTGGGCGTGGCAAACTTTTTTTTAGTCAATCGATAGGTAATGACGAGACGAATACAATTCAGTTAAAACTTTTTATCTAGCATAAAAATTGTGGGCGTCACAGGTTTTCGCGGTTTGTGGGCGTTAAAGTGGGCGTGGCAAACTTTTTTTAAGGTCAATCGATAGGTATTGATGAGAACATTACATTTCAGTTAAAATTTTTATTCTAGCATCAAAACTGTAGGAGCCACAGTTTTGGGCGGTTTGTGGGCGTTAGAGTGGGCGTGGCAGTCTACTGAAACAAACTTGCGCTGCGTAAGAAGCTCAGGAATCTGCACGCCAAATCTCAATAGCCTAGCTCTCATAGTTTCCGAGATCTCAGCGTTCATCCGGACAGACGGACAGACGGACAGACGGACATGGCTAGATCGACTCGGCTAGTGATCCTGATCAAGAATATATATACTTTATGGGGTCGGAAACGCTTCCTTCTGCCTGTTACATACTTTCCGACGAATCTAGTATACCCTTTTACTCTACGAGTAACGGGTATAACTAGACCCCAAGTTTAAAGGCCCATTTTTTGTTGTTGAGCTATTACCAGGCGATCGATATAAATTAAGAGCGTTAAAGGGCAATCGAACTTACAAATATTCCCACGAATTTTTACGATAAATGCCTGAGAACGGGATTACCACAGAGCATGACGAGGCGGTCATGGATGAAGATGATGTTGATCGAGCCGGTGATGGCTGCGATGATTTATGAAATAAGAAAATGTAAATGATAACTGTGTCCTATGTGTTGGCCGGTTGGTCAATTGCTCTGTTTATAGTCGAGACAACTGTGTGCTATGTGTTGGCCGGTTGGTCGAGACAAGACCTAAATTGTTAAGTAAAATGAAAACTGTTAGAGATAGTGATTGACGATCTAACGATGTGATTGCTTATTGGAGAAGCAAATGAAAATGGAAAGTGAATATTGTTTGAATTGATGGTAGTCCGGATCTCAAGGCTTAAATGTTGTTTATGTATGAGGAAGTGTAAGTTCGATCTGCTAGTTAAGAATTAAGAATTCTGTATAACTTTTGAATTTAAAAGAATAATGTTATTGACGAAAAAGGCTAAGAAGGGAAAAATGCTAAGTTTCATTTGTTATTCATAAATTAATAGTTTATAAGGCTTTTGATTAATGAAAATAGAGTTATTTTGCTTTAATTTCAAGGTACATTTCTAGTGCTATTTATTATTGAGAGATAATATTTTGTAATGTTTTAAAGTTGGAAACACACGAGGACGTGTGAAAGTCAGGATGGCCGTGTCGTAGATTAGTTGGCCAATTAAAATTATAACAAATGTCAACTTTGGTTTGTCTTTCGCTTCCCATTCGTTTTCATGTGCTTCTGTGCTGTTGATGCAGGTGTCAGCATCAAAAAGGAATAACGGAAAGTTCTCAGTAGTGTGTGTATTGGAATGCGAAAGCGAGAGTAGAATAAAGTAGAAAGCGACGCTGGCAAAAAGGGACGCAAGCAGTAAGAGAAGGCATTCGTATTTGAGGAGCCAAACTAAAAAGATGCCACGCGCCAGAAAACGTTTCCATTTGGTCCAGCACGAAGAGCAGCCTGAAGCAGAGGACGATTCTTGTGAATCCTCGACATATATAATATACTATATTCTTGATCAGGATCACTAGACGAGTCGAACTAGCCATGTCCGTCTGTCCGTCCGTTCGTATGAACGCTGAGGTCTCGAAAACTATAAAAGCTGGAAGGTGTGGATTCGGCATACACAGCGAAAGGTTATTTCAGCAGGGTGTCACGCCACCCATAACAACCACAAACCGGACAAAACAGTAGCTCTTCCAGTTTTAATGCTAGAACAAAAATTTTGTTTTACCTAATTGGGGACACTTCTTCTTTTTAGATCTCTGTTCTAAATGAGCCCTTTTTAACCTTTTCATTTTCCACCGTAGCACCTTCTTCAAACACCAAAAACTAGCTGAATTCCTTCTTATCAGAATACCAGAGAGTAGTTAGGAAACGCGGACTCTGGGACAATTTGCATATTAATTAGGATGTTAATGGCATATTTATGGCCTCCGCTTCCTTATTAATGTGGGAATAGGTCTGGCAACCTTGTCAAGCACTTAGAACGAGAGAGACGAAGAAGAAAGACGTGAAATATATACGAAGCAAAAGAACGATGCGAGTAATAATCTAAAAACGCTGTTAAAATCCTTATTAGTTACCTAAAACTATAACCAGAACTACTTATCACTATTCCTTTAAAATAAAACTATAAACATATTATACTAAAACAAGGAAGAACGCTATAGTCGAGTACCTCGACTATCAGATACCCGTTACTCAGCTAAATAGAGATATGCCAGCAGCAAGGCGAGATTAAAATGCGCCACCTAACGGCGGTATACAGATTTAAGCGTTATGGGCGTTAGAGTGTACGTGGCAAATTTTTTTTGGTCGATAGGTATTGACGAGGCCAATACATTTCAGTTAAAATTTTTTATCTAGCATGAAAATTATGGGCGTCACAGGTTTTCGCGGCTTGTGGGCGTTAAAGTGGGCGTGGCAGCTAAGGAATCTGCACGTCAAATCTCAATAGCCTAGCTCCCATAGTTTCCGAGATCTTAGCGTTCATCCGGACAGACAGACGGACAGACGGACATGGCTAGATCGACTCGGCTAGTGATCCTGATCAAGAATATATATACTTTGTGGGGTCGGAACCGTTTCTTTCTGCCTGTTACATACTTTCCGACGAATCTAGTATACCCTTTTACCCTACGAGTAACGGGTATAATTACAATTATTGGGACTTTTCATTTTAATCAGAAAAACGAATCCCACAAATATGGGGGATCAACCTACGTGAAAAGTGAAAAGTAAAACGACGAAAAGTGTGCTTAAGAAAAGATTTTAAACGACAAAAACTGCGGAAAACGAGGAAAAACTTAAAAAACGACGTACGAGTGTGTGAAAACGACGCTACAACCACCACTGTGATCTACGATATACATGTATAACGACGCGTATATGTATATAAACGACGGTAGAGAACGCGAGTGAGAACGACGAATACGAGTGTACACAAGAGCAACGAGTACGAACGAACATTTACAAAAACTGTTTCTGCAAACATGTCCAGTCTAGCAGATTTTGAGTCCGTTTTACAGGCGTTAAAATCTAAAAAAAAGAAGAATGTTGACCTGCTGCACAAGTTTGTCTACGAAAATGACGGGGACCGGCATAGCCGAAAGCGACTTCGGGTTTCGACGGGTTTGACTTTTTGGAATATGATAAGCTTTTTAATTAGAAGGTGTCTTACGTTGCGCTAATTTTGTCAAACAGCGACCTTGCCATAATTTGCAACATTTTGGGCTTGCAACACGACAAAAGTGATCTCATGCTACACATTTTCCGAAATTTTCGCGCAGGAAAACTGCTGGAAGATGCAGATGAAGAGGACTCCGAAGAGGATGAAGTAGACGAACGAGAAGAGAATGACGAAGATAACGACGAGAAAAGTTCTAAAGGTGACGACGACGAGTTTCGCTCTATGCAAAGCAACACAGAGAAGCAGAAAAAACTGAACAAGGCACGGGCTGGCACAGTGGCGTTCAACAATAACGATTCTGCCTCAGTACAAAGTTTCGCTGTGAATTCGCCTCGTTTTTCTGAAACTTCCGCGATGTAGAAGACTCTATTCTGCCGTTCAGTGGAGATGACACCCTTGCAGTTGAGGTTTGGATTTCCGATTTCGAGGACATGGCTTCCATTATGTATTGGGATGACCTGCAAAAACTCATTTTCGCGAAACGTTCTCTAAAAGGTCTCGCTTAAGTCTTTATTATGAGTGAGCGTGGTATCAAAAATTGGCAAATGTTAAAAAACGCGTTGATAAAAGAGTTCAAAGCCGAAGTAAATAGTGCTCAATTACATAAGTTGCTATCCGAAAGAAAAATCAAAAACAATGAAAGTGTTCAAGAATATCTCCTCAAAATGAAAGAAATTGCTTCTCGTGGCAGTGTAGACAACTGTGCACTTATGCAATATGTGGTTGACGGAATCAATGACCTAAGTGTTAACAAATCGATTTTGTACAATGCCAAAGACTTGAAGGAGTTCAAGGAAAAATTGAAGTTCTACGAAAAAATTCGCGAAAAATCCGGAAAGCCTAAAATTTACGAAGACAAGTGAAAATACCCGATAGGAAAAGAAAGTGCGGGTCAAAAGGAAGTGTCAATGCAAAAAAAGGTACATTGCTTCAACTGTGGTGCCGGTGGCCACACATCTAGTCAGTGCCCCAATCGAAACAGTGGTCGAAAGTGCTTTAACTGTAACAATTTTGGACACATATCGAAGGACTGCCCCACAGGCAAGATAGAAACGGTTGAAACTCCGAAAACTACGCGCAAAGTATCCGCTGACAAACTTTCGATGTGTAAAGAGATCTATATGAAAAGCAACAAGTACACAGCCCTTATTGACACAGGCAGCAAATACAACATTGTAAGTGAAACGACGTACCTAAGTCTGAACAAGCCAAACCTGAGTGATGTGAACATTTTCCTTGTCGGTTTCGGGAACAACAACCGGTTAAAACCATTCGGTTCTTTTACAGAAAAATTCGAAGTTGACGATCAAGTGATTGAAGAAAATTTTCTTGTTGTCTCATCTGACTTTCTAGACGTGCAAGTTGTGTTAGGTGCAGAATTTGTAACAACGCTGAAATAATAATAAATCGTGACGGAATAAAAATACAAAGCCATGAAAAGCATGCCGAAACTGAATTAGGTGTGCTAATGAAAATCAAAAGTCAAAAGTCGAAAGTGCCGAAAATGTAAACATAAACATTAACGAGAGTGCAACAACTGAGGCAAAACGCGAAGCTTACGATCTGATTAAGAACTATAAACCGACGAGTACAAAAACCACAAACGTTTCAATGCGTATCGTTTTAAAAAACGACACTCCCGTACATTCGCGCCCGCGTAGATTCGCGTTTTCCGAGCGGTGTATTATAGACGATCAAATCGAACAATCATCAAGGACGAAATCATCGAACATTCTGAGTCCGAGTACAGCAGTCCGGTCGTCCTGGTAAAGAAACGCGATAACACACCTCGACTCTGCATTGACTATAGGAGGATTAACAAGGTAATAGTACGAGATATGTTTCCCCTTCCCTTGATCGAAGACCAATTAGACCGTCTGCAAGATGCCCATGTATTCAGCACGCTGGACCTCAAAAACGGATTTTTCCACGTTAATGTCGATGAAGAAAGCCGCAAGTTCACATCCATTGTAACTCACAATGGCCAGTACCAGTTCCTGAAAGTCCCTTTTGGCCTCACGAATTCTCCAGGAGTATTTCAAAGACACGTTAACGCCATTTTCCGAGACTTGACCCGTTCTGGTATTGCGATTCCCTACGTCGACGATATCATAGTCCCAGCTGCAGACGTAGTCGAAGCAGTAGCCAATCTCAAGACAGTCGTCAAGCGTTGTGAGGAGTATGGTTTAGTTATCAACCTAAAGAAATGCTGCTTCCTAAAAAAGAAACTCGAGTTTCTTGGCCATTGTATTGAAAACCAATCGATCAGCATCTCAGACGACAAGACGAAAGCTGTGACGAAGTTTCCTCCTCCGACAAACCAGAAGCAATTACAAAGCTTTCTGGGTCTGGTCGGATATTTTCGCTAATTCATCCTGAGGTTTTCGATCATCGCCAAACCTTTGACCGATCTTATGAAGCATGACGCTAAGTTCTGTTTTTCGGACAGAGAGATTGACGCTTTTAACAAGCTTTAAAGTTTGATTACCCAAAAACCTGTGCTCAAAATTTTTCATCCACAGCACGAAACAGAACTTCATACAGATGCTTCGATTGATGGTTTTGGGGCAGTATTACTCCAAAAATCTCCTAAGGATAACAAGATTCATCCAGTGTACTTCATGAGTAAGAAAACTACAGACGCAGAAATAAAGTTTTCTAGCTACGAGTTGGAGATTCTGGCAGTGGTAGAAGCTTTCCGAAAGTTCCGAATATACCTGTTGGGTATGCGTTTCAAGCTGATCAGCGATTGCAATGCTTTCACGAAGACGATTGAGAAAAGATAAGTCTGCACTAGAGTCGCACGTTGGATCCTCGAACTTCAGGAGTTTGACTTTGAAGTCGAACACAGATCAGGCACTCGCATACGCCATGGTGAGCGTTGCCCGGTAATGATGATCTCTGACGATAGTTTGCACAGCAAATTGAAGTGTGTTCAATCGCAGGACGAGGAATTAAAAGCCATAATAGACATCCTTGCTGAAAAATCTATCCACAACAACTTTTTTTTACGATCTGGATTGCTGTACAAATTGGTGAACGACGACGAGCTTATAGTTGTACCACCGATCCTTCAACGTGAAATCATTCGGCAGGCTCATAAAAATGGATATTTTTCTGTAAAGAAAACCAAAGAGATCATCGGAAAGAAATATTACATTCCTAAACTTGAAGACAAGATCCAAAGACAGATTAAATGCTGCATTCCGTGTATCGTATCCAACCGCAAGCTTGGGAAAAAAGAAGGAGAGTTGCACCCATTGCCCAAGGAAGCGGAGCCATTTCAAACATTCCACATCGATTTTTTGGGACCTCTCGAATCAACTCACAAGGCGTACAAGCACATCCTTGCTGTCATTGACGGATTCACCAAATTTTGTTGGCTATATCCTACGAAATCAACATCCTCTAAGGACGTCATCACTAGACTAGAGGCTCAGAGCGCAATATTTGGAAATCCTGCTCAAATAATATCCGATCGAGGCACAGCGTTCACTTCAGACGAGTTCAAGAAGTATTGTGAGGACGAGGGCATTGAACTTCATGCAGTATCAACTGGAGTTCCGAGAGCAAACGGTCAAGTCGAACGCCTCAACGCCACAATTGTATCTGTACTGTCCAAACTGTCATTAGATGATCCCATCAAATGGTATAAGTTCGTAAACCAGGTGCAGCAGACAATTAATTCGACGTACTGCAGAAGTACACACACAACTCCATTCGAACTTCTTGTAGGCATCAAGATGCGCACTAAAACAGACGTCCTGTTGAAGGAAATGATTGAGCAAGAGTTAATACAAATGTTTCAGGACAATCGAGACGAGATCCGCAAAGCTGCAAAGAAACAGATCCTGGCTATGCAGAATGAAAACAAGCACTCATACAACCTCAGACGTAGACCAGCAGCAACATACAAAGTTGGCGATGTTGGTGGACTTAAGTTAAAGCCTAAGTACTTGGGTCCCTACCGCGTTACAAAAGTCAACCCGAAGCACACTTACGATGTTGTAAAGGAATCGCTAACTACGGACGGACCAAGATACATTACCTCTTGCACTGAGTATATGAAGCCATGGATGAAAATATCCTCCGAGGACGACGACGAAACATTCGGGACGAATGTTTAGAAGGATGGCCGAGTTGTTGGAATAGGTCTGGCATCCTTGTCAACCGAACCCACCACAGATGAACAGCACTACTAATTATTGGCGTGGTGAAAAAAAAGTCTTGTACAAGCACTTAGAACGAGAGAAACGAAGAAGAAAGACGTGAAATATAAACGAAGCAAAGGAACGACGCGAGTAATAATCTAAAAACGCTGTTAAAATCCTTATTAATTACCTAAAACTATAACCAGAACTACTTATCACTATTTCTTTTAAATAAAACTATAAACGTATTATACTAAAATTACACAGACCTACCCACGACCCACCCGACTTGCCGTGACCTATCATTACCTGACCCTCATAAAAGTTACTTACCCAAGTCCCAGGGCGCAGGGTCACTGATTAGAGCAAACATATCCAGACCATTGATAATGGATGAAATCAGGACTGTTTAGAATCTCTCAGGTGGCCGACATACCTTAATCAAGAAAATATTTTGCCATTCTCTGTTCCTGCAGTTTTAATTAGAACTAAAAGTCAGAAGAATATTTATTATGTTAATATTTTCTCATTTATTTTATTATTGTGAACATGAATTATTACATATAACAGATGTTGAAATACTTTCAAAACATCAATTTTTACTACCCCAGAACCTTCAGAAACCAAAAAAACCTGACCTTAGTATTTGAGTATTCAAAGCATATTCTTCAAAAGGGGATAATGAGTTAGGCAGCCTTGTCTAAAATAGCAGCGCTTTTTGCATAAGTTTAATAAACTCGTTAAATACAATACTCATCTGGTTTTCCTGATTCATGAAAGGGGTTGAGCTGCCGATTCGGAACTGCGCTGAGGTTGAGCTAACGTAGGCTAGCTGCTTGTGGAGATAGTGTATTACGAGCCCTATTCCCAGAGGTAGGAAGTAGAACCGCGGAGTTATGAGATGTGTTGATAACTGATTTATTCTTCATTTGGTACATGATTATATACTACTTGGAACACGGAGGTTAAGTGTAATGATTATTGAAGTAAGCTATATTCTAAAGTAGGTAGATAGGTCAGGGAGTTTTGATTATGGTAGCAGTTTGTGTAGTTGGCTCGGCAGACACTGCAAAATGTGCTGACTGCATTGGCCGGTCAGTGTGCCGTTGAGTCGGTGAGACGGTGAGTTAGTGAGACATATAATATGCTGATCAGCAATTCTCATATGCAGTGGGTGCTACTAAGCGCCTGGTACTGTTCCCAACTTGGCTACTGCTTGATTTGTTGGGTGTGGTCATGTTGAGTACCTTTGGGTACGAACATTCTCCCCCCCATTGAGGGGTACCCTCAATTAAGTCGTGATGTCGGTCAGCCCTTGGCCGAATTGTATAGGAAGCACCTAACATATCATTGACCAAGGTGGATCTTTCCTTCAACTGAGGTTCATGTCCGTGATTCAGGTCCTTCACATCTTCTTGATGCTGCTTAAGACTCCCCTTTGCGATAAAATTGACATTACCGTGGGGACTGAAATTGAGCCCTCGTAGAACTTGATCATTTGGCACGTCTATGGTATATGGACATTCTGCAACAAAACTAAGATATTCCTTGGTTAAGTTTAGAAATGTTTAACCAAAGTCAGGCTTCTTATTGGTTTTAAGTTGATGAGAAGTCGGATCTGTATCAATTTATTTTTCTTTTGTCTTAAGTTCAGTTAGCTGCAATGAACTATTATGTATAGCGGTTGATCCTCGATCGGACGAGTCAGTGTCGCTGGTTCTTATTTTACGATCCATCAATGCTAAGTTCGTTAAATGACTCCTTTCTTCATCGTTGGCTCATAAGCAGCATTTGGTCCTGCAAAATCACCTCTGCCTTCTACCAGACTAGGGTTGATTTCCGTATCAGATGAGGTTTCTTTATTGAGATAACCTGTGATAACATAGCCAAGCCTAGTGCCTTGTGCCAAAGGTTTATAAGGTCCTAGTTCAAGAAGTTCACCGGTTATTACACGAGAATACACCTCAACCCCTAAGGTAAGGTCAATGGGTCCAGGTTGCCGAAAGTCAGGATCTGCTAACGGA